GAATAGTAGTAGGTGTTGGGATATTGTGGGTTAAAACATCACCTAACACCTCTATTCATTTTCGTTTTTTTTTTTATTATGTCTAGTAGATGGAATATTCCCAACGCTTTTGGGTGCTACGGCTGCAGATAACTTTCTTTACAAATTATGTATTTTGTACTTTGTTCACAATTGAAATGTTTTTTAATTGTTTTATTTAAATTTTCATGTATGAAATTTATAAAGTTGAATTCTATTAGGAATAACGGTTGTATGTGGATTTACACTAAACATCTTGGCTTTGGTTTATATATGTATATTTCCAGTGGAACCTAAACACAAATTCGTTGAAAAATAAGAAATATGTTTTACCAATAAAACATCCAGACAAGTTTCTGGAAAAATAACAAATATGTGTACTACCAACGAAACATAAAGTACCAATAGACATAACAAGCACAATACCAGAGAGATATAGAGACAAGTTTATTTAGAAATAATAGAGATATACCTCCATTGAAAAAAAGTACCTGGAAAAATGACAAACGAAACATACAGATAAGTTTCTAAAGAAATAACGGCAATGTCTTACTAGAGAACCAGAAAGAAAAGTTCAAAGAGAAATGGCAGATGTATACTAGCTGTAGACAACAAGAAATCAAATGAATAATATATGTGGATACATACACTAAAATTTTAAAAATATCGAGTTTCGAGAGATTTCAGTTGCCGTTATTCAACGGTCTAGATTTCTCCGCAAGGAGCGTTTTCTGTTACAGGAAACTTCGGTCTTCTTATTTGTTTGTTTTAGAATCGCGTGAATCAAACCCTAAGATGATTGTTCAACATCGAAATATTGTATGTTAAACAGGACAAGACTTTTTATGAAAACTCGATACTTTTTGGGCTATGGTTATTTACGACATCCAATTATGATAAAATCAGAGAATAACAATATCTGACCCATTTAATATTTCGTAATTTTAAAAAGAATGTATCTCAGCCGGAGAAAAATAGAAGAAGAATAAAGCCTGTTCATTCAAATCTAAATTTAATTTTGAACTGAAAATATTTAGAGAAACTTTCCGACCAAAAACTCGGTCACGCCTCGTGCTGTTTTTCATACTGATTTATATATTTAGGTATAAGTAATAAAAAATATTATACGAGTTAATTGCAGATCGAAATATTCTCATAGTGTTTCGCCTCTTTTTGATCGAGGTCTTAATAAGTTTTCTTTTATAACTTCCATATCTCAATTTTAAATTAAAGTTCTACAATAAACATTGTCAACTTTTCAAATACTGTAAACTAAGCTGATGTTTATATGAATAATTCAGATACATGGAAAACAAGATTCACTTGTATCACGCCCTGATTTAACAAGATATTTTAAAAATATAATCACATACTATATAACAAAATACATACTTTTGTTTTGAAAGAGATATATATAATTTAGTTATGAAAAGAAAAACGTTTACATTAAATGCCTTTTTTCGAAAACTTAATAAGTGAATGAGAGTCGAAAATACCAGAGAAAGAATTACTTTCCTGTTACAAATTCGTTTAAAAAAATCTCGTAATAAAATTCAACGCAAATCACCTTCTTGGATCAGCGAGTGGTTTCATAGGTTTGGATTACATAATACATCACATTTAAATATTTTATAAATTCTAATCTGTTTAACTGAATAAAATTAGACTCAATTTCTTGATCACAACAATAAAATGACAGTTAAAATATTGTTTTTCATCGTAAAATGATATATCAGAAACAGTACTTGTCGTTTCGCAGTGGTTCTTAAGCAGTACTAATTGCCATTTTCTAATGGTTTTTAAGCAGTACTACTGTCGTTACCTAATGGTTTTTAAGCAGTACTACTGTCGTTACCTAATGGTTTTTAAGCAGTACTACTGTCGTTACCTAATGGTTTTTAAGCAGTACTACTGTCGTTACTTAATGGTTTTTAAGCAGTACTACTGTCGTTACCTAATGGTTTTTAAGCAGTATTATTCGTCGTTACCTACTAATTCTTCAGGAGTACTATTTGTCTTTGCCTATTTGTTCTTTAGCATTATTCCTTTTCGTTATCTAGTGGTTCTTCATTAAACTGTTTAATAATGATAGTGATAAGATCTCATATATTTGAAGTAAGTTACTGACACCAGTATTTTGTAATTAGCAGTCACGTTGAAGATATACACAATTGTTTAGTGTGCCTTCTTAACGGGGAATTATTGAAGTGTGTCTACCTGACGGATGTGTTATAATGTACCTAACGGAGAATTTTTAAAGCGTGTCTAACTGTCGATCGTATTAAAGTGTATCAAACGGGGGATTCTTGGTGTGAATCAAACTGAAGGTTAGGTTATAATGTGGTTAACTAAAGGTCGTATTAAAGTGTATTTAACGGGAGATTTGTGAAGTGTGTGTCTAACTGAAGATTGTGTTATAATGTACCTAACGAGGGATTCTTGAAGTGTGTCTAACTGACGGTTGTGTTATAATGTACCTAACGGAGGATTTTTGAAGTGTGTCTAACTGACGATCGTATTAAAGTGTATCAAACGGGGATTCTTGGTATGAATCAAACTGAAGGTTATGTTATAATGTGGTTAACTGATGGTCGTATTAAAGTGTATCTTACGGGGGATTTGTGAAGTGTGTCTAACTGAAGGGTTGTTTTGTAATATATCCAACGAGGGATTATTGAAGTGTGTCTAACTAAATGTGGTATTATAGTGTATCTAACGTGGGATTCTTGAAGTGTGACTAACTGATGGTCGTACTATAGTGTATCTAACGGGGAATTTTTGAAGTGTGTATAACTGAAGGTTGTGTTATAATGTACCCAATGGGGGAATTTTGAAGTGTATCTCACTGACGCAGTTATTAAAATGTACTTAACAGGGAATTCTTGAAGTCTGTCTAATTTTGTGTTGTATTGAAATGTCTAACTGGTGGTGATCTTACATTTTGTGTAAACAAGAGTTGTCTTGAAATGTGTGTCTAATAGAGGTTATGTTAAAGTATGTCCAACTGATTTTTAGTTTGTTTAGAAAATTCGTAAAGCTACAAAATGGCTATTTGGGCTAACCATCCCTAATTTTAAACTGAAAGACTATAGCTTAGTTGATGTGAGGACGAGTTGACAATCCCTGGGGTTGCACCGACAGGTTCTGACCTGTCATTTGGTAATCAGCTGCTTCACAGAAGGTAGAAAAATGTTATTTTACTGATTGTATCCCAGCCTATCTGATGAGCCCCAGTACTGGACAGAAGGCATTTCCCGACACTGTGTATGGCAACTGTAGTGTGGTAGACATATTCATGAAGTCTTAGAATTATCAGTGGTTTTCTGATTGTACATTGTCCTATTGATTTCCCATATTTTACTATTCCTAGATACACTATACAGTAAATTGTTTTTCATCAGTCTCATTTCCTCTGAATGACCACGAAAACCATCCATGGCTACACCTTCACCTTTCTAGTGTAGAGAAAGTCAATATTTTGCCAGTAGAGTTGTATTAGATTTGATATAGGTCCTTCTTTTACGAGCTTTTTAGCTTTCTCGTTTAGCTTTACCCCTGGTACATACACCAAGGTTATGGTCTTACCATGCAGTTGCTTTGCTTTCTGTCATCGTCTGAGAACCACCATTCTTCCTGCGAACCAGTCGCAAATTTTATGCTGGTGGCACGGTCAGCATTCTAGAGAAAAGCTTGTTTCATGGCTTTCAATTCTATGTGTTTTCTGCATGTTGGCAGCTATTATACTCACCAATCGCCAACTCTTGGGCTACTATCATCTGATCGAGTAGAGGGATTTCAGTGTCATTCTTATATCTCACCTACGGCCTTAAAGAGCGAAACTCTATGGTTTTTGCGGCAGAGGGACGCAATTCATACTAATTTTTAGGGTACTCTAATCGCATAGTGGGATTTAGCCGTCAATTTTATTCTGAGCATACGCCTCCAAAATGTGTAGTGCCTTTTTTTTGCGATAATGTGATGTCAATCCCCGGATCCACAGTCTAGCACGCTAACCCCTATATCTATTGATGTATTTAAGATTTTCTAATATTGTGTTTGAAATACGTATAATCAAGGGTTGTATTGAAACGTGTCTTAATAATGATTATCTTGAAATGGGTCAAAATGATAATTGTCTTCAAGTGTGTATCGCTCAGAGTCTTATTTAAAACTGTTTAATTGGAGTTGACTAGAAACTTACTTAGTTGAGAGGTATCTCCAAATGTATTAAAAAAGTAGGGGTTTGAAAGTGTGCTTAATTGGGATTACCTAGTAGTGTACCAATATAGGTATTACCTAGTAGAATTTGTAACTGGGGTTTGCATAGTTGTATTCATATCTGGAGCTATTCTGGTAGTAAATCAACTTGGAAATTATCTAGTATTATAACTATCTAGAGATCACCTTGTAACATATATACGTACATATGTTCTAATAATAAGTCTACCAAGGAATTATATCGTTGTAGATCTACCTAAGGATTATCTAATAGTATATCTATCCAGGGATTATCTAATAGTATATCTATCCAGGGATTATCTAATAGTATATCTATCCAGGGATTATCTAATAGTATATCTATCCAGGGATTATCTAATAATATATCTACCAGTGTTTATCTAGTATATCTTCTACCTATTGGTTATTTTGCAGTATATCTACCTCGAGATTATCTAATGATATATCTACCTGGGAATTGTCTAATTGTATGTTTCTCTGGCGATTGTCTTTAGATTCACTTGATATGTCGATAATGTGAATACACATTCTTAATCTAGAAAGTAGTCGAGATTTTAACACTTGGTTAGGCAGCAGGGTTTTTAGTTTTGACCACAGCTAGGTAAGAATATTATATATGACCTTTTACATAGAAATTTTTTTTTCTAAATACATAAAGATAATCTAATTTCCTAAAAAAGTACAAAAGTACAAAAAATAAATTTGTGGAAATATATTTCATAATTTTAGCATTTTGTGTTTACCTTAAATACAAATGCCTCACTCTCAACGCCTCCTTCGTAGCTTCCACACTTGGTATGGACTGTAACAAACTGTTTCCACGAGCTAGAAGGTCCTATGTTTGCGTCTATTTTATAATTTTCGCCATCTGGTGCTGAAAACCCTGTTGTTGTAAAACAAGCAACAATGACTGTCACCAAGACGACCGCAATGCCAAAAATGGTAGCTGGAATTGCTCGCGAACATTGGATCTTCTTCCGTTCCTCCACCTCTTGTTGGTAATGACGAAGAAAGTCATCTTCATCGTCTAGATGGCTATAAGGCCTGTAGGGTGTCCGAAGTAGTGACATAATGTCGCTAATTGGAGGATCCTTATTCATTCAGGTGACGTATGTAGTTTCAATAAGACTTAATTTGTGCAAGATTGTGTTTTTAGCAGGAAAACTTCTCTTGAAAATCTTGATTCAAGAACTAAACTTCATTGGTTATTTCTCTGCCAAAAATTCAAATAATTTGGATATCCTGTGCTATGGAAAAGTGTATATTTTTCCAATGATCTTGAGTTTTCCTGAAAATATAATGAATGAATTTAGTTTACTAATTGAATATATCATACAGTCTTTAAAAATTATCAAGATCTACATGCGCATAGGCAAGGGGGTGGGACGGCATCCCCTAAGTTATATATATATATAAAACATATTTAAAAGGTATAAAATAACCTGAGATATCGCAAAATACACCATTTTCAATGAAAATTATAAACGTTTCTCAGGGGAACGTTTATAGACCCGTCTTCCCAATATGACTTCGTCACTTATTCCCTTTTCGTTCAAAAGTATCAGCTTCCCTTTATAGACTATTGTCTGGCTTGCACCTATTTATAACTTTTTCCCTACACCCCTCATCTAAATACACAAGAAAAACGTTAGAAAATCATCCACTGCTTTAGAAAATGGTTTAAAAAAATTAAATACAAATTAATGTGCGGGTAAGTTATATTTTACACATCAAAATCGCTATACTTCTGATATTAGAAAAATATATGTTTCTCCATATTCGTTCATTAGGAAGAAGCTTTCAAACACCTATGTGTTTCAACAGTGACAGAGCACTCACAGTTTAAGAGATCATATTAGAGATAAATATAATAAATTCAAGAAATTTAAACTTACTAGAAATAATAAGGACTTGGAGGACTATATGAAATCAAGAGAGATGGTTAAAAAAGAAGTTAAAAGGGCAAAAAATTGTATATGAAAGAGGGTTGGCTGAGAGAGTTAACTCAAACAATAAGGAATTCTTTAGGTATATAATGAGTAAGCAAAATGTTAGGATGAGGATTAGGCCTCTTAAAAATGATAGTGGGGAGCTGATCTCTGAAGATTATGAGATGGTAAACTTATTGAATTATATGTTCTCTTCGGTGTTTAAGAAGGAAGATACAAGTATGCCTCAATCAGAGCACTTAATGTATGGGGAAAATATTGTTGTAAAATATATTATTTTAAGTTCTGAAATTGCAAGAAAAATGTTGGGAAACCTAAAAATTTATATATCCTCTTGACCAGACAACTTTCATCCAAGGAACTTAAATATTTTATTTGTAAATCGCTAGCTAATATCTTTTATAGGTCATTGAGTAGTGGGAGAGCATTAGAAGATTGGAAGTTGGCTAATGTTAGTCCAATATTTAAAGGAGGTGATAAACATTGTTCAGGTAATTATAGGCCAGTTAGTCTTACATCAGTGGTTGGAAAGATTTTGGAGAGTGGGACTAAAGATGCATTGCAGAGTCACTTAAAGCAGCTTGATATAGTGTCAAAGAGCCAACATAGTTTCACTAAGGGAAAGTCTTGTTTAAAAAATATTCTGAGATTCTTTGAAGATGTAACTGCAAGAGTTGATGAAAGAAATACCGTGGATTGCTTTGCCTTGATTTTCAGAAAGCGTTTGATGAGGTTCATCAGAAAAGACTTGTAACAAAAATTAAATCTGTGCGTGTAGGGAGAAATTTTAATATATTGGATAGAAAATTTGCTGGAGAGTATAAATCAGAGAGTAGTAATAAACGGAGTTAGATCTGACTGATCACAGTTACAAGCGGTGTGCATCAAGACTCTGTGTTGGGTCCTCTGTTGTTTGTGATTTATATGAATGAAAGTTTGCAGATGACATTAAGATTTTTGGGGTAGATAACTGTATCAAAGATGCTGTAGATTTACAGTGAGATTTAAATCATTTGATGTATTGGGCCAATATGTGGCAGATGATATTTAACTGTTCAAAAGTGTAAGGTGATACATGTAGGTTTTCACAATTCAAATTGTTATTACAATTTAAATGGGAATACATTAAATGCTGTGGTTGAAAAAAAAAGATCTCGATGTTGTATCGAAAAATCACTTAAATCATCTAAAGAGAGCATTGTAGCTAGCAATAGAGCTAATAGGATTTTGGGTAGCATCTATAGAAATATTGAATACAAGACAATAGATATTATTGTTTCACTGTATAGATCACTTGTAAGACCTCATTTAGAGTACTTTGTACAGTTTTGGGCTCCCTTCTTCAAGAAGGACATTGAACTGTTGGAGAAGGTTCAGAGAAGAGCCACTAGGGTGATACCTGGGATGGTGGGATTGTCCTATGAAGAGAAACTAAAATATCTAAACTTGCTTTCTCCGTAGAGGAGAAGGATCAGAGAGGATTTGATTGAGGTGGTTACGATTATTAAGGGTATTGATAATATAGATCCATCAAACGTTTTTATGTTTAGCAGTGAAAACAATAGGACAAGATGTCATAAATTCAAATTTTGACAGCGTAGGAGTTGTCTTCAGTTTAGACAGTATTACTTTTCAAACAGGAGGTTGGCTTTTGGAATGAGCTGCATTCAAGGGTGGTGGAGGCAGAAAATTTAACTGAGTTCATAAAAAGGTTGGATGAATACATGAAAAGTAAGGCGGGATTGTATTTGGGAGCTGGAAGGGACATCCTTGATAGGCTAATGATATCCTTTTTATCTCTTTACAATTTTATGAATTTATGAATCTTCATCCCAGACCTTGCAACGGAAATGATGTCACAAAAAGTACAATTTAAAAGTGGATATCATACGTGGATAAAAGTTAATTAAAATGTAAAGCAAATCTACTTACTTCACGTATGGAATACATTGTTGTTAAACAATATCAAGCTTATCTGTTAACTTGTTTTATAATTTCCACGTGTATAGGTACATGAAAGCTAAGTTCATATAACTGTCCCTAATTTTGAGCGGATAGAGTAGAAATATGACAGCTAGTGAGTTCCTGAGATACTATTTTCGGACTGATTAGTGGGATTTGCGCTTCACTCTTACAGTGCATGCGCGGTCATACAATGTGGGCGCGTTTTCGGGGAAACTGGACACGAGCCACGAATCCATTGCCAATGCACGCTAACTACTAAGCAACGCTTAACGTGTAATAAAGAAATGTATACATAAACGAAAGAAAGAAATAATGTAAGAGATAAAAAACACAATTACATGCGTTTTCTTTTTTCTATTTCTTACACAGAAAGAAGATAACAGTATACATTAGTGTAAGTATTTGATATATACGGCTCATACAGATTTTCAGCATTTATTTGACCAAAACATCTTCGACAAGAGCCCTGCTGAGACAAGTTAACCGTTTCGATACTTATCTACGGATATGTAAAGCATAGATGTGTATCTGCAAGTTGAAGTGTCAAAAGTTTATATTGTTCTTTAAGCTCTCGTGAACCAGATGTGCGAGTGTCTAAAACAAGCTACTCAACTATTGTTGTGATCAGACCCGTACGCAGAATACTGGAAATAGGGTTTCTAATTTGTGAGATCAAACACCAACATATATTGTGCCAAACATGTTAATACTACAGGGGGTCTAGAGTGCTGTGAGAAAAAAAGGGTGCTATGAGATTAAATCTGGAAGCAATTTTGCATGAAATATAGCTTAAACAATTGCATGGCTGTTCGCATGCAATCCATAAACATCCAATGAAAAGTCAACAAATCATCATGTTGTTTTAACACTGAAAGGAGAGCTAGTCTCAGATTAGCATAAATATGTATGTTTTATTATAGTAAAGTACTGTACCAATCTACATGCAGAGTAGTTATTAATTGTTAAATTATATTACTAACTTAAACAATTCTGTACACCAGTATTATATTAGTTATTTGAATCATTGGCTATCATATACGTACATATATACACTACTGAAATAACTTGTTTGCATGCTCCATTCTTCTGGGGTGATTTTCCATAAGTAACTTACATAAAGTTTCAATGTTGGTAGCAGTGTCATAATGATTATGTATTAAAGCTAGAGCACTCAGTCTTTCTTCGGTTTGTGTAAACCTCTGGTAATTATTCAACAGGCGGCGAGCAGATGCCGAACGTTCACATGACCCCCCCCCTCCCCTGCGTATGTGCTTGGTGATTATTTGTTTCTTTGTTAAAGCTACTCAAGGGTTATCTGCACTAGCCGTCCATAAGTTAAAAGCGACAAACTAGAGAGAGGGCAGCTAGTCAACACCATTCACCGCCAAATCTTGGGTTACTCTTTACCAACGAACAGTGGGATTGACTGTCTTATTATACCGTCCCCACGGCTGAAATGGCGCGCATGTTCAATAAGTTTCAACCAGTTCGGGAAATCAAGGTTAGTACAAAATCCATTTACTAAGCTAATGATACAAAATAATAAGAAATTTAAAATCTATATTAAACATTTTAACCAATATACTACTAAAACAACAATAAAGAATAGACCTAACTTACCGAAAACATGAACATTAGTACAATAGTGGTATACTATCCTATCAACCTAGTTTATATGGTAGTTTGGTAATCTTTAAAATTTTCATCGTTTGTTTATAATATGGTAACTCCTTACATTGAAAATAATGCATTTGTAGTATGTTAACAATTTAGATTCTTATTATCTATGGTAGTACGAAAACTGCTTGCATTCCTCCCAGATTCCTGTTTCTGATGAATAAAATACTTGTATATTATGTTTATCAAAAATATATTTCTATGATAAAAATGTGGAAGTTACGTTTATGTCTACCTTCTATTTTAAAGGGAATCATTAAATTCGCGTAGTAAGTAACTAGCTCGCAGAGCTAATGATATAGCGCTACTTTCTTCTGCCGTTTTTGAAGTATAACATTTACGAAGTTCAGTATGTCTGGGAAAACAACCACGTCAGAAACTCTCCATTTGTTCGTGAAATTCTGGGCGGAGAATAAAATGATTTTCCTTATTAGAACTTCTGTTCCTTGTTACAAATTAAACTTGGATGAGTGTAGCCTAATGACAAGCGTGCCTGAATTGTGAATCCTCGGATTTTTCGTAGGCACCACTTATTGCAAAAACAAAAGTGTTACACACTTTTGGAGGCGAGTGTTCACCATGAGGTTTGTTGTGAATTTCACGAAAAGCTACACGAGGGCTATCTGCCCTAACCGTCCCTTAATTTAGCAGTGAAAGACTGGAGGTAAGGCAGTTAGTCATCACCACTCGCCGCCAA